CAGTGCTGGTCTTGTTTTTACAAACTCTTTCTTTTACTTTTCAAAGAGAAGAGCAAACGGGGTGGGAGGGGGAAGAAAAGTACAACAATGATTGACTGGAAATCCAATGTTTCTGTAAACCTTTATTAAAATTAATTTTTTAAAAAAGACATTTAAAAAAAAAACACCAGACTTACAGGTCTGATTGAAACTGATGGAGCCTGAGCCTGACCCTTAAGATACTCATCAAATTTAAAACAGATATTCATGTTTGAGTTTTTATCACGAGATAAAAACGCCCTGCCAATGCAAAGGCACATGGTTTGAATCCATTAGCCACTCTAGGAGACAGATGGGGAATCTCTTCCTATGTGATTTCCTGCCTCTGAAAACTGCTGGAGTTCCCACTGCTGGTACTCAACAATGGCAACAATTTAACTGCTTAGCTTTCTATAGTAATGGATGTGTCTCACCAAATGACATTTTGTTCTTTTGGGAGGGTTCCTTTTTATTTTGATTTGAGTGGAAGTGTAAGGGCAAACTGCTTTTCCTTTACACAATCCACATACCCAAGTCTAAGTCTACATTTTCAACTTCTATAAACCAGTGTTTATACTGAACTTACATGCAAAAGATGACTCCAGTTCCTCATTATCCTTAGACGTGAGTTTTTCCACATTGGAAAGTCCACTTCTGTCTTGCAGTTCAGCTGGGTTTGGAGAAAGACTGGATGGGAAGAAGAAGAAAATTTGTAAGGATGGAGGGTGAGTCACAGCAAACCCAAGAGTGATGAAAAGCCACCCTAGAACCTGACACTTCCCAGCACAGAACTTGTTTCCCTTCAGCTCCTACAGAACAAGAGTCCCTGCATCCTGCATGTCCACCACACCCCACAGAGGCCTCTGGGGCTGAGAGCCATTAACTCAGTTACTCCTCACCATTGCCTCCTGTTGCAAGGCAGGGATGACTGTCACCAAAGAGCACCAGAGCCTTCTAGGTGCTACTTGCTGGGAGTGTTTTACCAACCAAGCATTTTTCAAAGAACTCAAATCTGTAATCACCGTGAACGAGGAGATCTGAGGAGCCCGGTCGTGAGTGCATCTCCAAGTGTGGGAGGGTTCCGTCTGTCCTTGTGGCTTTATTAAAACAAGGTACAACACAGACAAGGGTGAGATGCTTGGAGGCCCCTTACCGGCTGCTCCAACAAGCAGATGCCCAAGCCCAGCGAGTCAGAAGCTCCCACAGTTGGGAGGGGGCCAGGGTGGCCCCTAGGGGACTCCAGGCACAGCATGGGCTGACCATGGGCCCCGCTTCTACAATTCGCTGCTCTGCTCAGTGACCAGGCCTTATAGCCTTTGTCACCTTAGAACTGATGTCAATGCTATAAAAATTGAAATACTGTCTGCTTGCAAACTTTCCAGTGATGTACTGAATCTTTCTGAGTTTAAAAATAAATAGAATTTATTTACTTTCTTGGATCTTCTGGTTTTGGTCTAGCTATGGAACTCTGAAGATCCTAATTAAACCACAAAGCATATTCTAGCTGCCAACTTGAGCAAACAAGTAGAAACTGTGTTAAAAAGGCATCCCCGTGTCTTATCCCACCCCACCTCCTAGTCATTTAGATGAATCTCAGAGATCACACTTTGTTTTATAATCTCGCTGCCACTCACATACAACCACAGGGAAAAGCTAAACTACAGGTAGTGTGACTCAGCTGAAGCCACAGCGAACATGCTGTTTTACCACTGCTTTGGCTCCGCAGGGCTGGAAAGGCTGTGCGTGGACTCGGTGGGCGAGGGCTGCGGGGTTGGGTCGGGACAGGCTTCAGGGGCGGCCAAGTGGGATCGGGCCAGACCTGAGGGGGAGAAGGCACCAAGGTGAGACTCGGGCAAGCTGCGTGGGAAGCACACCAGCGTGGGTTGTGAAGAGCACAAAATGGTTTGAAAAGAAATTCCATCTCTGAGCTGCATGAGCAGCTGAGCAGGAAGCACAAAGGGCAGTATGCGAACCTCAACAGTAGTGGTGATAAAATGTGAGACAAAACCAGCCAGCCGTCAGAGCAAAGACTTGGGTCCTCCCTGAACAGCAGTGCTGGCCAAGCAAAATGCCAGGGCCTGCTGCTCCTTCTGTGGAGGAGCGAGTCGCCAACGTCAACCAGGAACAGCAGTCCCCAGAGGGCCTGCGAAGGACGGCCTCCTTTGGGCTGGCACAGGCTCTTGTCCAAACACAAGGCCAGATGATAGCAGGGCCCGTCTAACGCGAGTGTTCTGGAAGCCCCTCTGTGGCAGCTTACCTTCCAGATATATCTCACTCTCTTGACTCCCCTTGGTTTTGGGGGTTGGTGTGGATGAGAGGCACTTCAAGGAAGAGGTTCTCCTTGGCTGCAAGGCCAAGCTGCCTGTCGGCATGTCCAGCGCCTTGCTCTTGTTCTCTCTCAGGATGCCCTCCAGACGCGCGTCAGGGTCAAGTCTGTCCTCTACAAAAAGATGTCTTTCTGAGGAACTTAAGGTGGCATTCCTGGGAAGTCCCAGCATGTGCAGGGGCGGCGGACTCTTTGCTCGTGGCGGGCTTGTAGAAGGGTTGAGAGCGACTCTTCGATGATAGTTTCTGAAAGCTTTTTCCAAGCGTTCAGCCTCTTGCTCAAGCTCCCGCACCCTGGCTTTGGTGTTGGCTACAAACTCCGTATCAGAGTCCGGAGAACTGCCATTGGCATGAGTTGTGATCCTGGACACAACTGCCATTGCCAGGGCCTTGTCCTGGGCCAGAGGGTTTTTCAAGAAATCCCCACACAGCTCGCTGTCGAAGGACCCCGTCCTGCCACTCAGGAGTCCACTGACGGAAGGATCGAGGAGTGAAGGCTTCGGGTTGCGGTACACCTCATTCTGTAGAGCTGCGAGGTACCGAAGAGAGTGAGTGAGGCGGGTAGAGGAGAAAGTTCAAACCGAATCAAGAGCATGGTTTTCCACAAAAGGAAAGAAAGGAGTCAAAGAATAACTTTGCACATGAAACTGTTTAAGCAGTGGTGATGATAACGGTTATGAATATTACTGAGAGCTTGAAAGGGGCTCTGTGGTGCAGTGAATTAATCACTGGGCTGCTAGCAGATAGGTCAGGGATGGGAACCCACCAGTCACTTTCCTAAGAGTTCGCCTCAGCAGTAATGGGTTTGGATTGAGACTTTATGTGCCACTAGCCTTCTTCCATGATGCAAGATATAAAGTTGCAATGCATTAGATGCAGTTTTAAAACTGCCAAAGTTCAGAGCACTGAAGATGTAGTCACAATTTATTTGGTGACAAAGCTTAGCTAGGCCCAAAGCCATCTGACTGAAAAACGCTATAGGCACTGATTTATTCACTTCTCAGCTCTACTGCTTCCATCCACATCTGACTGCAAAGTCATTCGTGGGCCTCACTACTGAAGGCTGCCCCCGGCCCTGGGCTGCTATAAACGCACGGTATAGTACATGGACCAAGTTTCTGACACAGAGCTGAGGCATGTCCTTTCTAGCACCACTGGGGCTTGGCGCTGCAGCTGCTCCCACTGCACAGATGGGGCCTGAAGTCTACGAGGCTGGATGACACCATTAGCAAGAGTAAGGCCACAGAGGTTTCCTACAGCAGAGCCAGAGCGAGCGCACGCTCCCTCCCGGAGTGTGCCTGGTGGGATGGGCAATGCCACTGACGAGGCTTCAGACATACTCTGCTAATTTTCATGCCCCAGGATTGCTAGGATTTCAGCTGTGGGCAGTCTGACCAAGAGAGAATCAGAGAGAAACACAGGAAGAGGAAAGAAAAGAATGAGAAGAGGTACCAATGAAAATGGTGCTGGCAGAAGGGAACTGGTGAGGAGAGAGTGCAGGTGAGACTGAGGACAAGGAAGCATGAGAAGTGTAGCCAACGTGACACAGACTCTGAGTGTGAAAGCAGCTACAAACAGCCCCTAAGCTTCCCTCTCCTGATGGAGGCAGGGCAGAGACGGCACTGTGTCACAGGACAGGCGTCACATGACAGACGGGAGGGACCGTTTCCTGAGTGTTCTGCATACCCCAGGCATTGGACTGGGACCCATTTCATTTCCCCTTCAGTCACCTTATCAGTAGAAGAAGGGAAAGGAATTCACCCATAGTCAAATAACTACCTTTCCAACTGGAGTAGAAATTACAAATCCATCTCTCTGACTCTAACGCCAACATTCTTTCCACTAAAGCCATGCTGCTTCATACATGTATTTCTGTATGGATGCACAGGTATATGCATGGATATGTGTATGTAGGTTAATCAGAAAGCATATGGCATTGGGCAAGTCTGCAGTCAGGGATGTCTCCAAATTACTTCGGAAACAATGGGGACTAAAGTGTACCTGACTGAGGCTGCAGTCTTTTCAATCACTGCTGTGCATCTGAGAGCTAGACAATGCGTAAAGGTGAGAGGAGAATTGATGCCTTTGAGCTGTGGTGTTGGAGATGAGTACTGACTATTCCACAGACTACCAAAAGAACAAACAGATATGTCTTGGAGAAAGTACAGCCAGAGTGCTCCTTGGAGGCAAAGCTCTATCTTACATATTATGGGCACGTTGTTAGGAGAGGGACATCATGCTTGGAAAGGTGAAGGGTCGTGAAAGAGGAAAGGAAGACCCTCAACCAAAAAAAAAAAAAAAGTAGTGGACTGACACAGTGAATGCTGCAATGAGCTTGACTACGTCAGAAATGAGGATGGAACAGGGTAGGAAAGGGTTCTGATGTTCTGATCTTCTGTTCACAGGATCACTGTGAGTCATACGTGACTCAACGGAACCTAACACTGCTAATAATGTGTAACAATAATGTGTACGTGAATGCATGTTTGTACAGATGAGTGTGTATGCACATGTGTACACATGTACACGACTCTTCACTTACCAACTCTCACAATCTATCATTCCACATTAACAGCTTGGAAAAATTCCCAGGGAGTGCCTCCTGGAGTGGCCTGGGCCCACGCAGTCCACAGCTGGGCCTGGCGTGTACTCTGAGGGCTACCCCCAGGAGATAGTAGAGGTTGCATCAACAACCAAGCTGTCCAAAGGACAACAACATAATGGCTATGGGACAGTGAAGTCTGATCACAGAGGGAGGAGGCAACAGGAAGACGAAAGAAGGTTTCAGGAGCCAGGAGGAGGCTGGGGAGTTGGGAAGGCAGGAAATGAAGGGAGAGGAACAAAGTCTCTCTGGGGCTGCTGGGCTGACTGGCAGTAAGCATTTGGGGCTGGGGGCTAGCCACAGACTCTTCCATAATGCTGATTTTGTATAAAGACCTGGTCTTCGGATTTTAACCACGTCTATAAACGAGGAGAGTACGTGTGTGTATGTGTGCATGTGTATATCTGTCTGTTAAGAATAGTTACCAATCAGTCTTACTTTCGGGGTAACACAGAAAAGGAAAGCCTAGGTCCAGGGTGATCTGGGGACCTTTGTGCCACTGCTCCACCACCAACACCATTTGTGGTTGTGATATGAGGTGCTCTGAAGCCAAGGGGCACTTCTGAAGGCAAATCCACAACAATTAGTGCCAGTTTGTCATTGAAATGGACAGGTAGTTTTCCTTCTTAGAGGACACATATTTCAATGGCTTTGTCTCGAACACAAGAATTGCTAAAGTTTGCATATATAATAAGCATGGCATTTACACACACATACATATACACACACAGAGGTCAAATGCTTTACACAAAAATAAATGTTGGTGGGTTCCAAAATGTCTCTAACCTGTTTGGGTTTGCTTCAGTTGCAATTTCAAGTCTGCAATCTGAGTAGTTAGCCTCTTTACAGATGTGTCATAATCCACTATTTGAGCCTTCAGTTGTGACGAATACTCAATCTGGAAAGATTCAAGAAGAAACCAAGATAACACAGATTACAGCTTGTTTCAAAAGGAAAATTCTCACATAGTGATCATTTCTGTTTCCCCAATTCAGAGCTGGTCTACACTGTCATCAAGAGGGTTTCTAAACCAACCAACCAAAGCAAAAACCCCAACAACAAACAGAACACAAGCACAAGCTATTCACCAGGCGGCCCAGTCAATGTGAGCGAAACCACTTCCCAGAGGGTGAGAGGCAAGAGACACTGAGCACCGTCAGGCCCACAGGTAGAAGGCATACAAGCACTAGCGAATGCTCCAGATGAGAAAGGAGACTTTCAGCACAGTTAGGGCGGTGCTTTCTGATATGCAGTCAGTCTGGTTTACACTCTGCGTGCTGACTTCTGCCAAATGCATCTATCTTCCACACAGACTGCCACAATACTTGACCAAGAAAAGGCAGCCGATACTCACTTCACTCTGCAGTCGTTTTTCCAGAGCTTGTTTGCAAGATTCAAATTCTTTCTGCTCAAGCTGAATGGCACTTTCAGCTTTCTTTAACTCTTTCTGAAAAATGACAAGTTCAGGAGGTGGCTGGGCCATGCCTAAGGAGGGGAAAAAACCATCCTGGTCAGTACCCATCTCAGGCTTTCGCACTTCGCATAACAAAGCCAGTTGAGGAGGCTTGATTATTTCTTTGCACTCCTGCAACTGTTGTTAGCTGCCATCAAGATGCCCACGACTCATAGCGACCCTGTAGCCTGCTGTAGCCTGCACCATCCCTGCCATCTCTGTTATGCTTGAACCCATTAGTACAGTCACTGTGTCAATCACCTTGTTGATGCAATTAGAATTGTATCCATTCTATTCAAAAGGCACAAAATTACTCCTGGTTCACAAATTCCAGAAACAAAGAATTTTAATGCACGTGAAAGCAAAGTTCATGAAACGTTCTTTAGAGTCCTGGCTCCCAGGAAAAGAACTCTTAAATCCTCCAAGTGAACAGGCAGAAAGTCCCTCTCCTCTATGACACAGAGAAGGGGTGTTCTTGCGAGAGCTGCCTGTTTCTATCCATGTGTCTGTCTGAGACAGTCAGGGCCCAGGGAGAAAGCAGGTGGTGCCATGGATGAGGTCATCGGTAGACTGCCGCCTCAAGGGGACATCTCAAATGGAACGACAAAGGACGATGTAATTCCCCAGATGGAGCAGGGAGTGTCAATCTCGACCTTGTCCTCCTCCCTGCCTCTAAGTGTTTGCCAGAGTCTCCATCTGTCACCCCCAACCAGGAGCCCTGAGGAAGTATGCAGAAGCATAGCTATGGTTTCAACATACTAGTTCCTCCAGTGGCGCTGTTAGTTACCTAAGAGCAAGCAAAAAGGGGCGTAATTTCCACCCAAGGACCTTAACTTTATAAGATCTTCCCAAGTCCACTTTACAGGTACCGACACAGTTCAAATTACAAAAAGATGCAAATCTGGAAGATGACATACGGTTTAGGAGAAGCATGTTTTCCTTTCTACTCTCTTCCAATTGTTGCTTCAGGAACTTATTTTGGGCCTGCAGCTCCACTTTCTCTTCTTTCATGTAGGAATAGTCACTCATCTCTTTAATCTTTTCACTCAGCAACTGGTTTTGCTTTGTTATTGCCAAACACTGGGTTCTGAGCGACTCGATCTCTAGCTAAAAGCAGACAAAGACAAATCAGATTCACACAAGGACCCTCTGCCCTGCTAATGTCTAAGCTGGCAGAAGGCCTGCACGTGGGCATCTGCATCAAGGCCACACTCTTGACCTGGATTAGGGGAAAGCACACTGCACTAGAAATATGGAGGACTCTGTCTTGTCAAACAAGTACTTCCGATTAAGACCATCATCACTCCAGGTGCAACCGAGGACCCAAGGACAATCACAGACTGTCATTATGTCCTGTTTTCAATATAAAAAGGTAAGAAAGAAATGAGCACTAACAAACTGTAAGGAGCTTCCCTTTTCTTTGTATAATCTGTCTAACAGATGAGTGTGGAGTCCTACACATTCCCCAGTGCTTAAGTCACTGCAGGGGCAAAGGGAAACTGTACACACAGGTTCCATCCCTCAGATGCTGTGCTAATGCGCACAAAGAAAAGGCGGAGTGGCACATGAGAGTGCATCTCGCTTTACTCTCATCTCTGAGACGTCCGTGGAATGACAGGGACATTTACCTTTTGCTGGTAAGAAAGAATAAGCGGCTGAGGAAGACACTGACCTGGGTCCACCTTGGCCACTAGCTCCCCGAGTCCCCTCAACCACCATGTTAAATGGGCAGGAGTCCAAATTCTCTGGTTGAGGAGAATGAGGTCACGGAAAGGGACAGAGGCAAGACCTGAGCAGGACTCTAGGTCTCCAAAGTGCATGCCCTCCACAAGGCACTCTGTGACTCCGACTGAAACAGTGAGCTAGCTTATGAATGGGATTCAACATTCATCTCCTTTTACACAATAAACAAACCAAATGTGCCCAGAGGCTAACTTGTGATAAATTATGCACAAAGGAAATTAAAGTTTCATATACTACCTAACACATACTTGTGGGGGGGAACCCATAGACTCAACAATTACCTCAAGTTCTTTTGCTTGATTTACAGACTGAATGAGGTCTTGCTTTTTGGAATTTATGACTTTGAGCTCTTCTTCCAAATGCATGGATTTTTCTAAAAGAGAAAAGTGAACCAATTACACACCATAATGCTTTCAGAGGGAATACAAAATGCCATTTAATAATTGATGGCCAACATGTCACACTTAACAACTGATAGCTCATAGTCTAAACAGCAGATGTCCAAAACCTTCACTGCCATGGAGCTGATAACATCTCAGAGCGACCCCACAGAACAGGGTAGGACAGTCCCAGCAGGTTTCCAAGGCTGTGGTCTTAACAGCTCACCGTCACATCTTTCTCCAGCATCGTGCCTGGAGAGTCTGCATGGCTGACCTTTAGGTTAACCGCTGAGTGCTTCACCACTGTGCTACCAGGGCTCAGAAGGCCAGTAGGCAAAGAGAAAATGAAGCCCATTACCAACAGGTGCTGGGAAGTTTTAACAGTTAAGATGTGGCAAAGTTTCTCCTGCTACATATGTTAATGGAACTGTACCACCTGTTCAAAGCACAGGGCCTTGAGCCAACAGGCCTTCATTTCCTTCAAGACAAAAGATTTGTCTGTCATTATTTTATAGTTTTCACTTCCTTTAACAGAAGATTATGACAATGTATTGTGAGAAACTATTTTGCTGGATACATAATGGTATTTATTGCTAAAGAAGCATTAGTTTCACAAGACCCTGGAAGTATAATGAAATGCAAAATATCTGGAATCTGGAAACTAAATTTCCTAATCTAAGGCTCTGGGAGCTCTAATGGCCTAGTGGATAGGGAGATGTGTTATCAACCCAAAGACAGGGCATTCAAATCTACTAGCTGCTCTTTGGGATAAAGATGGACAATCTCCTATGAAATTTTACAGTCTCTGAAAAACCACTAGTGGTCCAGCCATGAGTCTGTTCCAACTCGACAGCAATGAGTTTAATGAGAATCTCAGGCTCATGGGTACAAGATCTTATAAGGTTGTCTGACAAGTAAGGATATTATAAAGTGAAAAAGTCAGAAGTAAAAGAAATAATGAAACTGGTGCATAAAGGACAGGGACATAGCTGCTTTCACTTTCCTAGTAGTCAGAACCATACATATTAAAACTGTATCCAAAGAAAGCTGGATTAAATGCTAATAATAAGTCCTCAATCCACAAAAACATGAAGGTTTACACAAAGGCGATGAAAGGCAATGATAATATTTTTTTTCATTTTGTTAAATGAAGAATTCTACGTAAGTGATATATTTTTCAGAATGTAATACAGATCCAACTCGGGAACTAATAACTTATATTAGAACTGACACATACAGCAATGCACCCCCTCCTGCCCCTCAAGATTCACCTTTATTTTTCCTCTCATTTTCCATCAGTTGATTAGTTCTCGCGATATAGTCATCCTTGAGTTCAAGCTGATACCTGAGGTTCAGAAAGATCCACAGTGAGTTTCTTTGTCACTCTCCTGCGAAGGCTGCTAGCAATCTGTGAACTCACAGGGGCCGGCAGCTACTGAGCAAAAGTGGTACACTTCCAGGTCTCTCGGGAGGAAAGCCAGGGGCTGACTTCGGAACAGAAAGCCTCGGTAAAGCCCTGCCATCATCAGGCAAACTGGGTCCCCAAAATGCAATCATGCAAAATGAAGGGTCCCGTTACTCTTCAGTTAGCTTCAGTCTACACTCAAGGCCACGAAGAGCCAGAGTTAAACGAGCACTGGCCACCTCACGTTTGCCAGGGATGTGAGAAATCCCCAAGGAAAACAAGTCGGTGGCTTCTAAGCCACCTGTCCCACCCCAGCCTCAACCCCACCCAGGAGAAGACCTTTTGCCCTGGGTATTTAGCGCCAGCTGCTCCTTGTGTTATATCCCGACTGGCAATATCAAAAGGCACAATTTCACATTTTCTCTTCCAGAGCTGCTCCCAACTTTCTGGTTCAGGGATACGAGGAAGGAAAACAGGTGAATTCTTGTGGTAAATAGCCTCCAAATTGCAACACCTCCCCAAGATATATGTTATTGTTACTATTATTGCTAGGTTCTCTTGAGTTAGAATCAACTCACTGCTGACCTCACAGGTCTGCAGAGGTTGTAAAGGGCACAGGAGGAGATTGCCCATCTTTCTCCTGGAGAGCAGCTGGTGGATTTGAACTGCAGGCCTCTGAGTTAGCAGCACAACTCCTTACCACATAGCCACTAGAGTTTGCGAGTTATATGAGGACACCCAAAGTCAGACATCTTCCAGCCTGGAAAGTGCCTGGATGATACTAAACGGTGTCCTGTGTCCACGGCTGTGTAAAATGGATATGCACACGTTTATTTATTCAGACCCAGACAGTTAAGAACAGGTTGTTCAGCGTTTGCCACTACAAGGAATGACATAAAATAAGTCAAATAAAGGTTATCATTTCAAAATTGACAGACAGAAAAACTGTGCTTCTTTCTGACAGATTACTTAGATTTGTGAGCATAGGAAACCATTTGCACGGGCAGGCAGCCCCTGGTTACAAGGGGTTACTCCGTTTCTGAGTATGTCTTTAAGTGGAATTTGTAGGCAAGTTGAACAAGTGCAGTCAATTCTAAATCAGCCTTACTTTGCTGCAAGAAAAGGCTGGAAGCCTTGCCAGTGATTTAAAAGGTACAGAAACAATAATTGAAGGTGACCGTGATAAATTTGTTGAGTGCAGGGCTTGTTTGAAGAAGCCTAAGGCAAGGGAGTTAAGTATTGGGCTACTAAAGGAAAGGTTGATGGTTCAAACCTGCCAGCTGCTCTGGGGGAGAAGGCTGAGGCCGTCAGCTCCCATTAGAACTCCCTTGGAAACCCTAGGGTTCTGCTCTGCTCTGGTTTGGATTTTGAGGAGTCAGCTCAATCATCTCAAAGTGGGAGTAAACTTAAATTACAATAAAGGGCAAGGAGGAGTTGTCTGTCGGTCTGACATTTCAACCCTGGGACGGCCTGTACTCAGAAAGGTGACAGCAATGAGGACTTAGACATAAGGCAGCAAGAAGCAGCAACTGCTGATTCATACCGAGCAACACAGAGCTGCCGAGCCAAGTCAGTCCTGCTCTGCACCTTCATTTACTCAAGTACTGCCTGAGCTCTCATTAGGGGACCCCAAAGCCAGACTGGCAGAGCGCCATTAAAGTTGCTCCCATTTTCCTTTTCTCTTTCTCCTTCTTCACCGAGTTGGTTAATTTCTTTGCATTCTAGCTCTGCAGACCTCGAAAGGTCTAAGTGACAAATGTTATAGCCACGTTGTTGCTGGAAGGAGCCCTGGGGCACAATGGATTAAGGGTTGAGCTAACCAAAAGGTCTGTAGTTCGAATCTACCAGCTATGTTGAGGGGGAACAATGAGGTGAGTCCACGTGCTCCCCATATGGACTTGTGGGCTTAGAAACCCTGTAGATGGTTCTACACCCTCCTACAGGATCAATCTGACTCGGAACTGATTTGATGGCAATGGGACTGGATCAGACTGTTGAGATCACAGAGTTCTCTCACTGACTCAGTTTCTCAAGTGGATCACCAGGCCTTTCTTGCTGGTCTGTTTAAGTCTGGAAGCTCCCTTGAAACCTATTCCAAATCCTAGCAGCATCAGCCCTCCACTGACAGACAGCTGATGGCAGCATACAGTCATAGGGGATTCATTTAGAAACTTAGCTATTCTTCGCTCAGTGGCAGCATGAGCAGGTCTGAGAAGATAACGAAACAAAATGTTCTCCAAATTAAAACCTGGCTCCTTAGTAAATGCCGCAGGAGCTATACTCTCTCCTGGATTTTCTACAAACTACCTTAATGCACATGTCAAGACCCGAACCCCCTACCATTGAGCTAATTCCAACTCATAGCGACCCCATAGAACAGAGGAGATTGCCTTCTGGGGTTTTCAAGGCTGTAAACTATGATAGAAGTAAGCTGCCCCATCCTTTCAAACCACTGATCTTTAGTTAGCACCTGAGTGCTTAAACACTGCACCACCAGAGCTCTTTCTGAATGCAAATAATTAAGGGAAAGGCTTAAGGGATGAAAAAAATGTACTTTTAAACACTAAATTTTGCTATAAAATATTTGTTTCATCTTTTTCCGCTTTGGTCATGGTCTGCCCTTCATTAAAATGCAACACTCTCTTATGCACCTCAAAAAACTTCTCCAAAAGGGTAAAAAGGAAACCCACAGACTGGCAAATAATATTTTACAATGACATGTTTGATGAGGAAGTCATTATCTAAAAGTCACAGAATATTCCAGAACCTCTACAGTAAAAAGGGAAATAGCCAAATCACAAAATGGGCACAGGATACAAAAAGAGACTTCACCAAAGACGACATTCAGATGGCAAACACACACATGAAGAAGTGTTCAAAATCCCTAGCTCTCAGAGAGATGTAAATCAAAACAACTATGAGATATCATCTCACCGCAGCAACAATAGCGAAGTTCAACAGGGCAGCAAACAACAAATGCTGGAGAGGTTGTGGAGACCCTTAATCACTGCTGGTGGGAATGTAAAATGGTACAGCCACTACAGAAGGTGGTCTGGCGCATTCTCAAAAAGTTGGAATCAGAAATACCATTTGACCCAGCAATTCTACTACTGGGAATATACCCTAAAGAAACCAGAGCCACAACTCTAACAGATGTCTGCAGACCCATGTTTATTGCTGCATTATTCACAACAGCAAAAAGATGGAAGCAGTCCAAGTGCCCATCAACAAATGGATAGAAAAACTATGCTGCATTAACATACAATGAATTACGAAGCATTGAAAAATAATAAACTTTTAAAACATTACACAACATGAGGGAGCCTGGATAACATTAAGCTGAGTGAAATATCTCAGTCACAGAAGGACAAACACTGTGTAACACTGCTGTTATAGGACTGATATGGGGGGGGTGGGAAGAGAATGGGAAAAGTGTATAGATAATGAACACAATATTAGAACAGATGAAGAGAAGAACTGTGTGAAAGGCATTATACATATGACAACAACTGGAACAAGGGGTGTATTGCAAAGCGGACTGGGGGAAAGGATGGGAAGGGAGGAAAATGTGCAAAAATAAATGAATTTAAAAAAAGGAAAATTGACAAGACTTTTACACTGCCAAAAAAAAAAAGTAAATATGAAGGCCCAACAATTACTTTAGCAGTTCATTCTTGAGCTTTTGGTCATAGGTGTCCTCGAGTATCTTTATGTTCAGCTCTCGTCTCCTAAGTGCATCCTCCACAGTCTTGTTTTTGTCTTCTTGTAGTTTCTGGGTCCTGGAATTAGTAAAAATATACAAAGTAAATAAAAATATCACACCAGAGGTAACTAACTGGAAAAAAAAATAAAAGGTAACAATCCTGTCAGCTGTAATTTCACCATCCCTGCTGAGGAAGAAAAGGAAAGTACCAGAAGTCCCTCATCTGGTTCTGGGCCGCAGCCGGAGTCGGACAGGAAGATCTGCCTGGGTGATGGGGCTGCTCCGTGGCACCCGGCTGGGGCAGCAGGGTTGTGTGGAGAAGGGACAAGAGCACGGGGTTTCTGAGGGAAGAGAATTAACACTCACAAATGACCACAAGTGATGGTAAAAATGGTCATCATCAACTCAGGGTGAGAGAATGATGTTATTCGTCACAAAGTTACAAACAAAAGTGAGTCAATATCACTGATTCTAAGCGTGGAATTGAATTGATTAGCCCACAGGTATTAAATTTAGATTCATTTTTGTCATTTCATAATCCAGTAACAATACTGAAAGAGGGACTTCCAGATACAGAAGAATGAAATGGGCTCCATCCATGGCAAGACTTTAAATCGACCATAAAACCAATTCCAGAGTTGAGACTCTGGATCATCAAGGTGAACAGAAGTACTAGAGAGATTGCACTATAGAATGATCCACTGTCCAGGCCTGCACCATCCTTTGCAGTATAATCTCTGGAGTACAGGGTCGCTGTGAATCAGAGACGACTTAGTGGCACCTAACAACAGAGCAGGACTTTTCAGGAAAAGGATACAGCACTATGTACGAGCTCCCTCTGTTGGCTGATCTATAAAGCAGCTGGACAATACACTACATTTATTTAGCCTCCAACTTGGAAGGAAGGAGTAGGGGAAGTGGTGGCAAAGAAGTGAACATACAATCACGAAATAGCAATACCTGAATTTTGTCCTTTTCTTTACTCCCTCTTAATCAACGTACCTCTTCAGAATTGCCAAAAAGAGAGTAAGGTAGACCAAAAAAAAGCAAATCAATTGGGTATGTATATATGAGAAAACAAAAGAAGCTGGAAATCAAGTATGTTCCTGGATTTAAATGGGTTATCAGAATGGGCAGATTCAAAACGAGAAAGTTTATCCTACAAACTACAGATGGGTAGGCCTGGTCAATTCTTGGTAAAATATGAAGGCAGAAACTGTTGTGAGGCCTGAGAAAACAGGAGGTTCACACTCATATGACCAGCTCCTCCCTGATGCAATTAAGTGAGTCATTGCCGCTCCCTTTCTGAGAGCAAAGCAGGTCACAGCAGCAAACCTGGGTCTCTGGAATCTGGTTCCTGAGCACACAGGCCAGTACAGGACCAGAATGACTGGCCCCAACTGTGACTTGGGAAGGCATTTCATTATCTTTAAATGAACTATTTGGTCTTATTGTAGCCTGATGACGGCTTCTCATTCAACTTTTCATCTTAATGTCCGATGTTTCCAAAACTCTAGCTTCCTTTTACTTTTTGAAACTAGGCTATCGATGGGGGAAAAACCCCACGCCCTCTGCCATGGAGTCCTTTGTCACTCACAGTGACCCCACAGGGCAGAGGAGAACCACCTCATTGGGTTTCCCAGGTTGTAAGGAAGCCGACTGCTTCCTCGTCCCCACAAAGCAGCTAGCTGACAGCTTCAAGCCACACTTTTGGGTTGGCAGGTGAGCGCTTAACCACCGCACCACCAGGCCTTCTCTAAACATAGTCTCACTCTTTATTAGTAAGGACTCTGTTTGATAAAATTTAACATGTTGTTGTTGTTGTTGTTGTTGTTATGTGCCGTCGAGTCGCCTGCGACTCATAGCGACCCTATGTACAACAGCCCTAAACTCCGCTCTGTCCTGTGCCAATCGCACTATCTCTGACACTCCCATCCTAATTATCCTAGTCACTGAATCAATCCACCTCATAGAGGGCCTTCCTCTCCTGCGCTGTCCCTCCACCCTCCCAAGCATGATGTCCCTCTCTAAGGACCGGCCTCTCCTCACTACATGTCCAAAGTAAGTTAGACGGAGCCTCAGAATCCTTGCCTCCAAGGAGCCACCCGGTTTAACCCTCTCCAGGACAAATCTGTTTGTTTTCCTAGCAGTCCATGGTATTCTCAGTACTCTTCTCCAGCACCACAGCTCAAAGGCATCAGTTCTCCTTGTACAACAAAATTTAACATATACTTTATAAAACTCAGTAACAGCACCCTTTACAATCAAGGACTCTCCTTGGTAATTACCTTCAGACTATTTAGACATGGATCAGTAATGCTTTCTCATTCATTCTGAATAGTCAAAATGGCCACACATTACTTACATTTCAAAAGCTTCGATTTTTTGTTTCAGTTCTGATTCTCTGCTTCTTAGCATATCGATATCCTTTAGTAGAACTTGCCTCTGGGCATAGATCTCTTTTGTCTCAATCTGTACGGGAAAGCACTAATTTTTAGCAAGCAAGAAAACAGATTTGAATTCATATTCTGACTCCTAAATTCCAAAAACAATCAGAGTAAAGGCATTCAAGGTAACAATTCCACTTTCAACAGGCTCCAATTCAAGGCAGATTTTTGGTCTACTTAGGTTGCACAAAATTTATCCCTTCCTCCAATGACTATTACCTTCTATTAACCCAGTATTCCCAAAAACCCTTGTCTAATTATTTAATTATCATCTCTCTGACAGTTAATATTTTGATAACTTCTTCAGGAAGAGAAAACTTGAATAGAATATGCTTTCAGTACTAAAAGGTCAACAGAATAAAACCCCGAGGGTTTTGCTGGTGGTAGTGTCTGAACGTGGTCATTCTGAGGCCTGCTGGTTCTGGGCATGAGGCGAATATGAACTCTAGAAGAACAAGCCCTGTGTCCGTTAGCTGACCACCTGTCACATGGCGAGCAGCACTCTGGGAGCTGGATGGGAAAAGGTAAGTGGAAACAGACCTGAACTAAGGAGCTCACAGTTTAGTCAGGGAGAAGAAAACACACCCATGGCTACACTCTGATGCGACAGCGTGGGAGCAACTAGGCCTGAATGAGTCAGGCAGTGGGAGTCAGCGACAGTGTCACCAAGAAGGCAACATTTAAGGTGGATCTATGAAGACAGTATGATTTTTCTCCAGGAGAGAAGGGAGGCTTTTTATTAATACTCTCATGGACTCTTCTCCAAAACCTTCATTCAGATAATCTATTAACTAGATAGGGATTTGGGTCTGTCCACTGGTAGGTCTGACCTAGTACTGACCTAGTCAGCACATATCTTGAAGCAGAAGCTAAACAAAATTACCTAAAGGAAAAAAAATCAATCATCATCAAGATGGGTACTTCAGATGTTCATGTTTACAGCTGAGGGGAACCTGACAGCCAGAAATGTGACATGAAATTTTAGAGGGGCACAATTATAATTTGAAAAGGTTGAACTGAGAGGGTCCGAGCTAGGGGGCCAATAGGGGAAAGTCCTCCTCCATTCAGCATCTCATACCGGCTCTGATTCGAGATGTACAGAGAACAGTGTCGCAAAGCTGGTCTGGGGCTATGACACAGCCCTTGGGCAAGGAACATGAATCTTTACAAGAGTGAGAATCAATCATTGCTACTGATGAACAGACTCTGTCACTCCTCAACTTCTCCACTTCCTATTCTGTCACTCTCCTTGGTGACTAGATCAAGTGACCATGTGGGTGAACTTCCATGCTCTGGGACCTCAGCTTCACTCCACTTCCCCAGCACCTAATGGCAGATACTGCATTGGTTCCTGTTGTCTTGGAAAATCTCAAGCTGCAACTCTGCATTCTTGAGCCACCTCCTGCCGACCTTTAGTCTCCCCAGCTGTATTTTCTGATCTCTACAGGAATGCTCAGTGTCCCCCTTTCGCCTCCTTGATCAGCCACTCACCCTCTCCTCTGACTCTTCATCATGCAGCTGAACTCTGGTGTCTTCAATGAAACAGGTTTTCTCCACAGGGCAAAAAGTAAGCTGTACAGCATTCCACTCCCTAAGCATGTCCATCTTTCCACCTTCACTGACCTCACACCTCCCTATCAAGAACTCTTAACAGAAAACAGTGTTTGGTTCGGGCAATTCCACTTCCAGGCTCCCCAACTCTACTGGGCCGAGTCAGTTCAATCAGATCTCTATGCACAAGCATCCGAGATCCTTCCCTCAAACCCTCCAGTCTGCCAAACTAGGAGCTTGTTGGATACAAACTTCTCCCAATCCCAACCCCAACTGTAATGTGCACAAACCTTTTCCTTCATACCAGCTTCTACCAGGAAGCTTGTCTGGGTATCATTTTCCAGGCTGAGTCTTCTAGCTTCTGCTTGACCCCAGTAACTACTGTTCCCCTCACTCTCCCTCCTGCACCTTCAATGTCCCTCCAGCTGCAGGGAGCAGCCACCCGTTAAATGACTTGAAACTATTACCTCCTGATGCTTTTGAATCCTCTCCAGGGTATTCTTCTCCCGACAAATGAGGGCTTCGGATTTTGCTTGGTAAATTTTATCAAATTCATTCCGGAATTCAGCTAATTCCTTCTCGTACTTTCTCTTCTCTTCCATTCTAACTTTTGCTAATTCAGTATCTTTAAAATATTTCAACTGCCAAGTAATCACACACACAAAAAATACTAAGTAGCAACTACTAAAGAAATAATAACAAACTCTCTCTTGTTAAGATTAACATTAATGTTCTGTTCAACTACATGATCTGGGGTTATGACTCACAGCTAACACACAGGACAGGGGAGAGCTGCCCCAAAGGGTTTCCAAAGCTGTAATCTTTTCAGAAGCAGACTGCCGCATCCTTCTCCTTTGGAGTGGCAGATGGGTTTGAACTGCAACTGCCTAACCACTATGCCACCACAGCTCCTAAAGACATGCTATTATTCCATTTTAAGTCATGCTTAGCTTTTGCTCTTTCACTGTGCTTGTACTCTTGATTCAAAAGGGGAGAAGTAATGAAATGGAGACAAAAACACCATGTACAACTAACGTAGTCTGTTCACTGAAAATGTTCTAGAGAATTCCCCATAGATTTCAAGATTATGACATTAAAGGAGAGACAGATATGCTGCTCTTGTGGGACAACAATGAGATAAAGCTTACCTTGTGGACCATTTCTGCCCGCAGTTGCTGTTCTGTTTCTCTCTTATATTCATTTAACTTTCTTTCTAAAGATTCTAACTTAGGATATTGCGTGCAAGCATCTGCAAACTGATCATCAATAAGTTGAAGCTTCTCGGCTGCAATTACACAATTAAGGAAACAGACACATCAACACAGTCAGCCACACACAGGCCAGGCCTCTGCTCAAAAGCAGAGTGCACTGAGGGGCAAGTGCAGCGATCTCGGCTTTTTACAATGAAATGCATCCAAAATACAAGGTGGATTAATGGCTGGACAGAAAGGATGAAGGAAGGATAATAAAAATATAATTCTACTGAATCTAGGCACTGGGTAGAAAAGACTCACAATAAAATTCTTTCAATTTTTCTTCACACTGGAAAACTTTCAAAACAAAGAGTTGGGGGTAGGGGTACAGCTAAGTCAAACACTGTAGTCCCTTTTCCAGTCTTTTAGTGACAGAGCAGAGGGCTCATGGGTTGGATGTTGACAAAAATGGGTTCACACACATAAAATCTCATTTGAAAACAAACTCTCTCCCTATTTAGCGGAAGAGACAAATGCCCATATACCTTGAGTTACTTCTAGAGGGTCAAACAACTACCTAATGGCTAAAGTCTACTGACAGTCTATTACTCCAGCATTCTCTCCACCAGGCCCAATCCATAATCCACTGCTGTGGAGTCCGTTCCAACTCACAGCAACCTTCCACTGGGTTTCCGAGGCAGTACATCTTAGCAAGTAGAGACTGCTCCTCTTTTTCCCTCAAAGTCGCTGGAGGATTTGAACTACTGACCTCTACATTTGCAGCACAACATACTATGCAACTACACCACCAGAGTATCTCATTAGTCCAGTGGTTAAACAACAAACAAGGAAAAATATGGATCTCTAGATTCTCTGCTTGATTTGGAAAATGGAGCCCTAACATCATGAAGATAGAAAGCAACATAGCAAAGCAATTGGGGAGAAATTAGTTCCTTCCTATATGTGGCCTTTTGTGTGCGTTCTTTAAGAAAATATCTGCAATTTTTCCTCTAAGGCTTAAAGTTTTTCCTTTGGCCCTTGTTTTTTAACCAGAGACTTTGTTACGTTTATCTAGATTAATAGGCTTTTTAAAAAAAAATAAGCTGAAAACACCTTGCACCAGTCAATAAACTCTACAAATGAGGTAAGTTATAGCCTAGTCTAGCTTATTATGCAGGGAGCTTGGGTGGTCTAGAGGCAAGAAACTGTGCTGCCAGCTTGAAGGCAAGTGTTCAAACCCATTATGTGTTCTACAGGAGAAAGATGGGCAGTCTCCTCACATGTAATTTATAGCCTCTGAAAACCTGCTGACGGGCACAGAACAACAGTCTACTATGCAAATGAAGTATCTGTGGCCTACTAAGGAGAGCAGGCAGGTCAGCTGATGGCCCTAGCAGAAGTGTTATGCCTTAAAAATGACAAAATTATGGAGTGGGGGGGGTGCATGCATATAAACACCAGCCCCACAGAGTCTTTTGAGAGACAGAAAGAAGGGAGAAAGAAGAGGCAAGGGACCTCCTTAAAGGTCGAGGTAACACTGTTTAAGGACTGTAATACTGTTGATAGTGAGAGGCCCAGAAGGGCCCCCCTCAACAGAGCCTGTAGGAACAGAAAGCAGGGAAAGGGGAGCATGTGTTTAGGAGACTGAGGAACTGAGTTGTCCTGCACTGAAGGAGACTGTCTATATGCTTCCTGATCCTGATTCTTGAATTGCAACCTATTGATTCTGATATCAAGTCACATCCTATTCTTGAATAAACCACTTAACCATAAGCATGGTCTCTGAGTTCTGAGTAGCCATTGCAGTGGGTTATCTAACCCAGAAGAGGAGAGTCCCATGAGATGGACTGCTGGTGTCAGAAGTGGTAAAGGCTGGAGAGTATGTTTGACCTCCACGTCATGGAATTCTGTTCTGTGCTGATGGCAATTCTCATTATCCCTCATGAAGTTAGATAGGCTCTGATAACACTAATACCACTAGTACTACCATCACTGTACCTGGTTCATTCCAGCAATATGATTCTGGAAGAAATGGCAATCTACAGGTTCCCTCATCAATTCAAGTAGCAGCCAGTTCTAGGAATTTATTATAAGTCAGATAAATCCCTTCATAAAGAAAACAGTAGAGCTGAAATTATGAAAGCAGGCTATATTTACCAAGGGAGTCTTTGTTAGGAAATGGTAGGCTTGTTTGAGTTTCCACATCACAACTGTCTTTAGTCTGGTGATATTCTGCCAACTCTTTTAAAAACTGCATAAGAAAACCTAAAACACACAACATGAATAATTTTGTTTCAGAGTTTTTCATTCAACCATTGTTCACCGTTTATATAATCATGATTTTAGAAGATTCATTTTCAATATTTCCCCCCAGAAATCATTTTGGAAGGAAAGCATTTCCAAATATGACAACACAAAATTGAGCAGCAGTGAGAAGAATTTGTCAACCTAACTATATGAAATGTAGAAGTTTACATACACTAATAGACACAAAGTACTTCTATAAATTAAAGTTTATATACAGCATGCATGATATAACATAAACAAAGGCAAAAGACAAATGATGCTCTGGGAAAAAGCATAAGTAATAATATGGAGATAAAGAATTTCTTTTAATAACAAAAAGTAAGTAAGTTAAGAAAATAGTAAAGTCATAGACAAACATCCCATAGGAAAAATATGTATGTCAAACAATCATGAACAAATAAACAAATGTAAATTAAAACCACCACAAAAGAATTAGATTTTTCCTACAGGATTTGTAAGAGTAAAGCTTTGGGAACAGTAAATGTTGACAGTAAGTAGGGAAACAGGCACTCTAGTTCACTTGGTAGGGAAACTTGTCAGTTTACATATTCAAAATGAATATGCTCTTTCACCTAGTCTATGAACATATGTCTATGAACTGATGCAGTTATATACTTCCACAAGAACACAAAGTTTCAAATGACAAAAAAGAAAACAAATCTTCATCAACAGCGAGCTAATGCATTCCTTAAGAAAAGGACTAGACAACCTAAACACACTGCTACAGAAAGATGTATTACATTTTCTCAGTGCTGTAAAACTTCTCATAGGCCCTTAACTGGTTCCACTCCCCTTCAACATCCTACACACACACACACACACACACACACACACACACACACACACACACGCACTCTCTCTCTCTCTCTCCCTCCTCCTGTGAAGGAATGGCCTATTTCCTCCGATTTCTTCATATCTCGGACTCAGTTGATACTTATAAACCAATACTGTGTTATGCTGTTGCTCAAATTATTCCAGTGTTGGCTACTGGGAGTTCTTTCAGTGACATGGTACTTCCTTACCCTTTCTGGCACTGCAAAACGCCCCAGGGTCACCTTAGCCTCAGCCTCCACCCTAGCATTACCTTCTTCTCTGAAGAGCCCTAGCTCTTTTTATTGGAGAATTCTATTAGAAACCAAGATGTGGGTACTAGGTGTGCTCACTGCTACTGGGACATCACTGACTTGAGACACTTTCAACAGGCACAGTGAGAGAATATATGTGCACGCTAATTTGTCCATATAAACAATAAAAACTTCTACACATAGCTGTCTCTTATCTAAATTAGGGAGCTCTGGTAGCCTATTGGTAAGAAGATGTGCTGCAACTGCAAAAGCATGTGATTTGAATCCACTAGCTGCTCCGCAGGAGAAAGATGGGCAGTCTCCCTTGCAATTTATAACCTCTGAAAACCCACTGAAGGGGCAGCTATTAGTCAGTTCCAATGTGACAGCACCTAACAACATCTAGATTAGGTTAAACACATGTTCTTACTCATGTCTCCAACTCTAGTCCATTACTATGGATCATTCTTGTTTATCTGGTCTCCCACTTCAACAGTGGGAAATGTGGCTCCAACCATCTACTACTGATGTGCTTAATTGTTCCATTCTAGTACACAGGTACAGGGGTTACAGAACTGTTAACCCAAGTAGCCCAAGGAAAAGAATTTCATTAACCAGAACCTAGTGTTATAGTTTCTTTTGCCTTCAGTCTTAACAGTTTTCCTTCATTCCCAAAGTTAGCTAGCTGAATACCCTTTCCCTCATCTCCTTTATTATTTCATGTATTTACAGTAAGGTTAGGTTGTTTTTGTCATAATCTGTATGCTACCCTGGGATCATTTGACCTCTTAAATTTGCCTACATTAAGGTTCACATTTCTTGGCACCAAAGCTGGATGGATCGTGATGAATACGTTCTGTCATGTATCTCAACATTATGCCTAATTCCTTGCCCACCCTGAAAAACTCTCCTTTGCTTCATCTTCTTAATCCTACTGCCTCTGTTGTTTTACCTTTTCTGGAGCATCAGAAAAAGGGAATCATAACAGTATAAAGCCTACTGAGACTGGCTTCTTTCACTTAACAATATGTGTTCAGAATTCATTTATGTTTATGCATTTGTTATTTATTTATGTTTATTCATTTGTTTATGTTTAACGCATTACTTTTCATTTCCAAATAGTATTCAGCTGTATATTCAAATGTACCATGGATTACCCATTCATTTAATGAGGCCCAGGTTGCCTGCTTACAATTTCTGCCCATTCAAGTCGAATTCAAGGTTTGGCACTTACAATATTTATGGACTCTTGAAAGCTTGTTATCAAGGTCAAATTTAAGGAATTTATTTGGCCTATATAACTATGTAAGAATTAAAAACCGTAACTATAATTATTTATAATTGAACAGTTATTTCCTCTTTCAAGAAATATTAGCACAATTAATCCTATATATATTGCAACTGAATGTTCATTTTGGGGGTGGGGAAAGTGCTCAGGCCTTTCGTTCATAGGGTCACTATGAGTCCTCTACGACTCGACGGCGCCTAACAACAACAACAACATCTGTGTTGGTAGGGATCTTGATGTGGTTCTGCAGTTTTCACTCACTGCAGTCCAATTAGAACTCATAGCTGACCCTCCAGCAGGTTGTCAAAGGCTGTAAATCTGACAGAAGGAGAGAAACCATCTTTTTCTGGCAGGGTGGCTAGTGGATTCCAACCACCTGACTTTGGGTTAGCAGTGCAACTCCTTACCAACTAGACCACCAGAGCTCTCTGTTTTGAGCAGCCAAGTGTTACTAAAAAGATGGAAACTGCACTGAAATCTAGAAAGCGCATGGTTCAAGTCCACCAGATGCTCTGCTGGAGAAGGAGGGGAAATCTCCTCCTGCGCCAGTCGGATCCGATTTGACGGTACACAATAAGAAAAGAAAAGGAGGGAAAAAAAAGAAAGGATGGAAATAATCTTTGTCAGAACAAGAGAAAAATGGGTTGCTTTGCTTATTTCAAAGGTAAGGTATTACTGGAAGGCAAATCAAATTATTTCATTCAAATGAAAATCCCTATTCTTGCCTTTAAAATCACTACTTTCCTATCTTTATAGGAAAGAGTACATGATCATGACAAACACATTACTGTTATACACAGTAGGCAAAGGCTCCTACCTTTTTGGTTTTCTTGTTCAGATCTTGAAATCTGTTGAGAGAAAATACCTTTATTCAACACTTCTGTTAAAATTAACAAATCAAGCAGCTTACAAAAATGAAAAAAAATGGTCCTACCAGTGATTTGTAGAGACAGGAAGCAGGGTTGATTTTAATGAGTTGTAATAGATCCTGCATCGTAAGTATCTTAAGACAAAAAAAAAAGAAGGATTAATTAAGCAAATATATTTTTATACCAACATTCAAATTATTTATTAGGACATGTTTCCAAAATGAGATTAAGAATCATGCTTCAGGTTAATTAAAAAACAAGATCATAGTAAAGCTAGTAACACAAAATTGAAGCTCCTTGTAATACTGCTAAATAAATTACAATAAGCCTTTCATCAGCTCATCGCTGTCAAGTGGAAACTGACTCATAGCTGACCTTCCACTGGGTTCCCAAGGCTGTAAAGGGCATGAGAAGGGACCGCTCATCTTTCTTCCTCAGAGTCACTGGTGGGTCAGAACCACGGAGAGGTGGTGTCTCAGGGTCAGCAGCCAATTCCCTACTGACTACATCACCAGAGCTTATCAAGGGCAGAAAGGTGAAAGGTTTTCTTAATCACATGATTAACACACCACTGACGAGTCAATTCTGACTCACAGCAACCCCACAGGGTAGAGTAGAACTGGCCTGCCCTACAGAATTTCCAGTTATAACTCTTTCTGAAAGCTAACTGCCACATCTTCCTCCCACGGAACAATTGGAGGGTTCAAACAGCCAACCTCCCTGTGAGCAACAGCAGATGATAACCACGGTGCCACTAGCACACCTCAATCACATAATTAACCTCCAAAGATTTCACAAAGATTCTATGTCTGAGAGAAATGGCCATTGCTTTACAGATGACAAACACATATGAGTATATGATGAATCAACAAATACATGAGTGATTTAATGTACAAGATTTTTCAATTGTTGTTGTGTTGTTATGTGCCATAGGGCCGTTTGAGACTCACAGTGACCCTATGTACAACAGCCCTGAACCCTGCTCTATCCTCTGCCAACTTTATTGTCTCTGACACACCT